GGACAGACAGGAATGAGTATTCAGGTGCAGACAGGAGCACAGGATTATTACAGTTTGATGTAAATCATCTTATGCAATTTGATTTCATCTTAAATTTAATGATTCCAGGTCCCAGCTCACCCAACCCCATCTAGCTCTTGCCCTCCACCAGTGGATCTGGTTACCATGCACCAAGAATGAAAGTCAGTTAGAATCATAGGTTTAGGTTGGAATGGACCTTGAAAGTTCAACTAGTCCAACACCCTGCCATGGGCAGGGACAGCTTTTGCTAGATCAGGTTGCTTAAAGCCATGTCAAACCTGACCTTGAACACTTCCAGGGATGAAGCATCCACTACTTTTCTCGGATCCCTCATCATAAAAAATGTATTGCTTATGTCCAGTCTAAATCTACGCCCATTTAGTTTAAAACTCTTGGTCCTTGTCCTGTCACTATGGGCCCTCCATCTTTCTTACAAGCCCCCTTTAAGTACTGAAAGGTCTCAGTAAGGTCTCCCCAGAGCCTTCTCTTCTCCAGGCTGAAGAACCCCAACTCTCTCAGCCTGGCCTCATAGGAGAGGTGTTCCAACTCTGATATTCATGGCCCTCCTTTGGACCTGCTCTAACAGGTCCATGTCTTTCCTGTGCTGAGGACAGACTCCCGAATTAGCGCAGTACTCCAGGTGGGGTCTCACCAGAGCAAAGTAGAGGGGGCAGAATCACCTCCCTTGATCTGCTGGCCACGTTTCTTTTGATGCAGCCCAGGATATGGTTGGCTTTCTGGGCTGGGAGCACACGTTCCTGGCTCGTATCAAATTTTTCCTCCATCAACATCCCCAGGTCCTTCTTGGCAGGGCTGCTCTCAAGCCCTTCATCCCCCAGCCTGTATTGACACCTGGGGTTGCCCTGACCCAGGTGCAGGACCTTCCACTTGGCCTTGTTGAACCTCATGAAGTTCACATAGGCTCACTCCTCAAGGCTGTTAAGGTCCCTCTGGATGGCAACCCTTTAGTAAAACAATCTTTACTCTCTGAGTTTTTGTATTGCCTTCCTTTCAATGAGCTAATTTCTTGTTGGGTTAGTTCTCCCAACCAACTCAACCTGCAACTACACAACCTCTCTATCTGACAACTAAAGTGGTATGAACACAGAAGGGAACCGAAACAGCAGGAAGGCGGGGGGGGGAGCAAACATTTTCATTTCAGCAGCACTCTGCAGTTGCACTGAATTAACTGTAACATCATTAGTCACACCACTAGCATAATCTTTCAAGCCTGCTTTTGACAGATGACTGCATCCTTGAATACATCCAGTTGATAACCAGTCCATTTATACGAGAGCTTAAATTTTCATTGATGCAGTTTAATTCCATTACAATTAGTTTCAATATTTTGTTTATCAGTACTTGATGGTTTTGTGTGAAAACAGAATTTTAAGGAGAAATGATGTAATCTCTGAACTTCTTTTTCTAGAAAAAAAACAAACCAACAGAGCAGCAGGCCTGTGACAGAAGATGCTCCAGAAACAGGTAAAACAGTTGCAGGGCTTGCGTTTCTTTACCTGACTTTCTTCCTTTCAAGTAGATTTCAAGTTCTCACTTTTCTCTTTCTAAGTTCTCACGTTTTTGATACATGGTCAAATATTTTAAAACATAGTAGCTCTGAGAGACTGAAATAAGCAAAGCAGCATTTTTTCTCTTTTACATGAATCAACATGACAAAAAGACTATGCTTTTCAACAGTGCTACACAAAACACCGAGCTACTACTCATTTGAACTTTAATGTGGAGAAATACACTTAGAATACCTTCAAAGACGTTAAAGATTTCTGTTTGTTGACGCAATTTTATAACAATTTCATCAAAAATGAACTCTGTTACAAGTTCAAATTCACAATATGCCTTAGCCAACATGCCTTAGCCAATGAAACATTCATATTAAAACACAAGTCACGGGCAAGAATACGTTAAAGCACTTTTAAAAATACTAAGTACCATAAGGAAAAAAATACCTATAAAAAAATGCAATCAAAATAAAGAATCTGGAAAGCATTAGTTTAGTTTCACTGAAAAGTACAGCTTCAGTTCATAGGATTTTTTACGGTCATTCACATTTTATGATGACTTATTAATGATTGTACAATAGCCATTTTCCACACATAAATTCAACCCCCAGGGTCTTTGCTACACTAAAACCACTTGGAGAAACAAAACCTCTAATTTTCAAGCATTTGTCCAAAGCATTTCAAAACAAAAAAAAAAGCTACATGGACCTCTCAAAAGGACTGAATCTAATAAGTACGGTAGAAACACCTGTTCATCACCTCATCTTTTAAGAGAATGTTAGGAATAAATCAACCAAAGTTTTCCTATCCCTGTCACAATTTCTATTGTCACGAAAATAATACTGAAACAATTTCACTGAAAAGATCCTCTACACCATACAAGTAGCTCACTTGAAAGCAGGGAATAATCAGAAAGAGAAGGTATGAACACAAAAAAGAAAAGAAGAAGCAGCAATTTGATAAATACTTGTAACCATAATTTATTTTCTAATCAGCTCACTGAAAGCAGCAAATGAACCCTGCCTGCAAACATCTGCCTACCAAACATCACTACAAACAATTCTTTGTTGCCACTGAAAAACAGAAATCATCACCTTTCAGAAACTTTCACATGTCTAGCAAAGGTCAAATTTGGTCCCATCGTAACCCAGCAATTCACAATGACTATTATTTTAGTGAATATATTCTAAGTTTATAAAATCAAGATTATTTTTACTTTCTGGCAAGATTCAAAATGTTTATCTCAAATGACACAGATCTGAAAAACAGATATTAAAAAGACAGTATCTGATGCCTACAGCAACACAAAGACTATGAAATTTAATTCAGAGAACTTCTTTGTAAACTGAACAGTCCATAGTTTCTACTTTACCTTTAATGTGCATCAGCACTGCAGCATAAAGTGTTTTAATATGCTAAATATCAAATACAGACATTTGGGCTCCCATTTAATCTGTGGTAGATTGGATGGATTCCTTCCCCCCTAAACGCAAGATGTTCAGCTACATACTTACTATTTCTAGTAGGTACTTCTAATCTTCATAAGCTTATATGCCAATGAATGCAAACATGTACACACAAATCCACCATTCTTAGTCTGTAACTCACTGCAGTTAACACAAAATTGTGCCTGCTTCTCCACATAGAAAAAATTCAAATGCTCAGTGAAGCATCAGGAAGTTTTAAAAATATGAAGGTAACTTCAGGTACCAGCAACTGTTTATAGGGTGCTATATTAATGACTTAACAATGAATAAATAAGCCAGCTTTTCATCACCTCAGTGAGACCATTTTACTTGTAGAGTTGAGCAAACATTCTCCATGCTTGGTGACTGAGGTGCACAACATGCCTCTAGAACTGGAGATTTTAACTCTGCTCTAGAACATCATACTACAATGAAACATCCAGAAATTCTCATGAGAAGTTGCACTTTTTTTTTTTTTTCCTTTTCTTAATACCATGCCAAACTTGCAGCAGATTTTTCCAATGGGAAATCTACTTCTCCCCTGTTTTTCATACACGTACTCCTTCTCAACAACCTTAAAGTAGTTCAAAGCCATGACATTAATCAGTTAACTCCACTACCTACAGACAGGAAAAATCAATTTACCTGAATGCCGTCAAGCAACTTGCTCATGCACCAGTAACTGTCAGCTTCTATGTTCTGCAGCACTTCTTCAGGCAGACTGGAAACATCAAAATTTTCCACTTCTTCTTCTTCTGTTTCAGGAAAAGAGAGAGAAAGACAAGTCAATGAAGTGCACAGAATAAATAAAGCAAGGATAAGGAAAATAATTGAAAACAAAGACAACCACCACTTATCTTCTAGTGAGAAACTTCAACGCACATTTGCTTTAACAGGGACTAAATGAATCATTTATTGCTCAACTGTGTCATCTAATGGCTTTAAATGTTAATGAATACTTAATTTCTTGCAGACTGTGAAAATCTCAAATCACGCCTGGTTAACCAGAATTAATATATAATAAATTACTTCATTCTAAACGTTTCACACCTGAAAGAGGATCATCAGAAGCACTTTGACAGCCCTCAAGCTATATATGAACAATCTCTGCAGAACACGTCTACGTTTGCATCATGCACAGCAAAATACGTTGCCAGTGTTGACAGAAGAAAAAGCCCTGAAAAAATAATTTTTAGAAAACTAGTGAAATTTATTTAGAAAGCTGACTCCAGCTTTTCAAGGAGTATTTGTTTTTCAGGCAAGCATTTGGAATCAGAAGAAAATCAGACCAAAGGGAACGGATGATTCCCCACCCCAAAAAAAGCTAGTGATTCTCAATACTGGAAAAGCATAGAAACCCAATGATATCTAATTTATGGAAACGGAGTCTTTCACACAAGTGTGTTAAAAGAAATTCACATTTTGCTACAAACTGAAATTTTACCACCTAAGCCATGTTGTTTTATTTTTAAACCTTTCTACACAAACCCAATACAAGCACAAACATATATTGAACTTCGTTCCCCTTGAAAGCAGCAGTCTTCAGGCCCTCCTTCACTAAACATTTGCTGAAGGAATGAGATTACAACTACTTAGTTAGTGTGTTCCTTTGCAAATTTCCTGCCTTTGAGCACCTTTTCTTTTCATGATAATGCTATCACATTTCTGAACAAAAAGGAAGCTATAAACTGTAGCACAACACAATAACTCTTCCACAGGTGGGCATAAAAAGATAACAAATGAAAAAGACTTTATCTTCTTTCTCATCTTTCTTTATCTTTGTTCTTTTTTGTCCTTCTCTTTCAAAGTTTACCACTCCACACTATATTCACATACCAGAATTTAAACCAACAAAAAAGCTGAAGATACACCTAACCATCAAAGCTGGGAGCCTTCACCTCCTTTCACAGCCAACACAGAAATAGAAGTAGTGACGGAGTATTGGCTGTTTTGTTCTAAATTAGAAACCTAAAAGAAATTAGATGAATCACATCCAAAGAGAATCTTGTTTCTCAGTATTAGGTATAACTTGAACTTAAAAGGATTGCCTCAGAATGCAGACCTCCAAACTCTGGAAGTCTAAACTTAGCTGAAATAATATTTTAAATGCCCATCAAAAGAATTCCCATCCTGCGACTGAACTACCTGCAACAAGTGAAAATGATGGGCTGCAATGAAACAGCAGCAGTTTGAGAAACAAGGCTGAAGCAACCTGGACAGCAAAGACACTCCAGCATTAACATTTTGGAAAAACTAGATTCTAATTGTTCTAGTAAGGAAGGATTATCAAATGAGAAAGATTTTTTTTTTCTTTTTTTTTTTTTTTTTCCCCCAGAAAGTAGAATACAGCTTTTTAAGAAACATCTTCCAGTGGTTCCAACTACTTTTCATCACAGGTATGTTCACCAAGCACAAAGAGGATGTCAGGACAGGCCCTTCTGAAATGAACATAAGTCTGATGTAAATTCACTCTATTGAGTAGAATTCTCATTATTCCATAGGGAAAAAAATGGATTAGAGATGGAAAGGCAACTATTATCAAGTTATTTCTGCTCTAGTTTGGGTGATCCTATAAATCAACAGATACAGATAGCATTAAGGAACCATCCGATTCTTTCACTACAAGAATCCATAATCCCTAAATATAATGTCAGAGAGCCACAAGCTCAACCATTACGAAAATAAAAACAGCACTTTTTGGAAGTACTCATCCAGCTTTCTTGTTCTGCCTCTCCTGTTGGAAGAGACATCCAAGAACACTCTAACATTTTCATAAGCCTCTTTAAATGTAAAAAAAATATTCAGGATTTTTTCATATGTTCTTTAAATATGTAAGCTACTTCCAGTCCAATTTTCATTCCCATTGTGCTTCTCATACATCACTAAGTCATCTCTTCTAATGTCAGATAATAGAGTTTTGAAACACAAAAAAAAAGAAAAAATCTAATTAAATGTGTAAGACAACTCAATTGTATTTGAGTTACACACTGGTAGTATTTAGCTTATGTAGGACTGTCTCAAATTTTAGCTTAAAACTCTGCAACCAAATATTTCAAAGAGTAAATCAAATTACTTAGGGATATATTAAAATACATGTTTCATTAGATGAGCTAAGAAGTATATTTTTGTATATGTTATATTAACTGGTACTTTTTGATGTAAATGCTTTGTATGTTGAAGAAGGAGCCATGGAAGCCATCCAGACAGTAAATAAAGAAGACACAGCATCACAAAAGCCACCAAACAAGCAAGTGCTCTGTGATGTGCAATGGTTTCTGCTGCATCAATTCACCTTAACTTGCTGCACTTTATCGAGGAAGTTCAAAACTGACTCTGAATATCTGATTGACCCTTTTCCACACTACAGCTGAAATAGAAAAGGCCACCCATTTTCTTGACAAGCTCCAATTGAGGAACCCCCTGACTGGCAGAATAATATGCAGAATAAAAGTTTACATATTTAACATTTATGAAATTATTTGTGTAGGCACATAGTGCAAAGTGCTTCTTTTTCCATGCAGCTTTAAGGGGAAAAGCAATCAAGTTGTGCGTTACTCCGGGGGGGTTTTGGGTGGGTTTTTTTTTTGGTTGCTTATTTGGATGAAGAAATAAACACACTAGAGATGTTTAGAAAAGAAAAAGCAGAAGGGATTTTAGGACAAAAAAACAGAAGAAGAAAAAAATACATGAGAGATTATTTCAATTTGACTTGTGCTTGAAAACAGAATTGCAAATTCTGTTTTTAGATAACTTTGAATTCATTTCCAATGAGTGAAATCTGAATGGACAGTAATACAAAGACTAAATAACAAGAATATGGGGAAAACTGCAGGCGAGCGTGTACATGTATTAATATCTGGGGGAAAAAAAGAGGTCAAATTTCCCGATTACAAAGTCTCACAGCCATGTATCTCATTTTCTTCAGTTTCCTGTGGAGATCATTATCACGTTATCTATGTAATTGTAGAAGACAGTAAAATAGTTGCCTTGAGGAAAAATGCTGTAGCAAGGAGTCAATGACATGCTGATCTGAATGTGTGCATTGCTGTAAGCATAGTATTAGCTGTTCTTTACTCATTCCCACTGTATGCTTCTGAAACTTCCCACAGTGTGAAGTGAGTGAGTAACATTTTCTAAACAGCTTTAACTGGATCCACTCCCAAAGGCAGAGACATAAGGATAAAATGAAAAGTAAAGAAAAACATCACTTACAAACTACTTACAGATTTCTTTTTCCAATGACAGTAGAAAATAAACATAAGATAATGGCTTGCCTCCATTAAAAATAGATTTTAATATGAGATTAAGTCTAGTTGAAGATTTTGGTGGAAGTTGTTCAAAATGTTAAAATTAAGTCCATATCTATCTCTGTCTTTTAGATGTATTTGATTTCTTCTTAAAAAACTGCCTAAACTTCAACTTCTTAGTACAGATCATGGGGAAAAACACCTGCCATTAAAGACAGCTGGAATCACCCAATACAATTTTTTTCATTAAAAAACTGGAAAATTTTCATTTCAAAAACAATTTTATTTATGAAGAAATCATATCCTGATATAAAACTAAAATACTGAAAAAATATGACATTATTAAAACAGCTTAATGCTATTGCTACAGTAACTAGTAGCCCTCTCACTGCATCCAAATAGCCATCTGTATCCAACTATGTGTTGAAATGCAATCATCAAAAAGGCAATTCGCATTCAGAATTTCTCTAAACCTGTTACGTATACCAACATCAATACTCAGTCTTTATAAAGTGGGAAAGAAATGAATGCAACTTGATAGTTTTACAACTTCATTAAACTAAGGAGGCTTATACAAAAAATATCTCTTTTAGAAAAAGCTTACATTCCTTCAAAGGAAACTAACTTTCAAGGAAACAGACATTTAATTGGCTTATTTATGTTTTAATTTTAGCTTTTTATTTTGAAATGGTGTCTCAGAACTCAGAATCAGGCAAAACTCAGATGAATTCACTGGAGTGGAAGGTTGGGGATGAAATGTATGGTGGTGTAAGAAAGACCCAGTGCTGAAGCCCAAAACAGACTGTAAGATCATCAATAAATTATGATTGTTCTTTATATACACCCAATATACAAAACAATACATATAAACATTAGAAAGGTTAATTCTCTGAACATCTTAAGACTGGGGTTTTTTTAGCACTAATTTCTGTAAATTTATTTCTCATCTAATGTATAAAAATTAGTACCATATAATTCAAGTTCAAACTATATAGCTCTTGCAGAGGTGCAAGGAAATCATTCTGATTGTACATGCACAGGTACTTGCCTGTATGAAGTTTATGTTGTTGTAATCTACTTTAGATGTTGTATCTTCAGATAGGCCTAACCTAAAAGTTACCAGCTAAGTATAGAAACTATAAAACTATATGCATATGATTGTATGCAGAGGTGCACAGTAGTATTTCCAGTAATATTTCTAGAATATCTTACATACTCCACTTCAAACTGAGTTTTCAAAAAGCCTTATGAAGCAGCTATTCAGTCACAGCTGCACTAAGGTAATGTCTTTCTAAGTAGATCAGGACATAATAGAGCATTTAAATGTAAATTATTTCGGTAACAATTACCTAATTAAATATGTACATAACCACATCAATATTTCTCATTCAAAAAACCCTAATTACATATTTATCTGATAGAAATAGCTTTTGAGCTGTTAAGGATTAGTCACCACAGTATAAACTTCCCTTTCTTTGTGATACTGCAGTCACAAAGGTAAAATTTGA